GTGGGAGCTCAGCTCGTGTTTCCCACAGGGCTGTGGAGCTGCTCTCACGTGAAGCCGCTCTGGGAATGCGGAGATAAGAGAGCTGCGTCCATCAGATTGCAATCAGCTTTTATTCCTCCTCCTGCTTCTCACTTCTGAAGTTGGGAACAAGCCCAGCTTTGTATCAGCGATGTTCCTAAAGGAGAACTTCACTTCCCACTCTGCTATTTATAGAGGGCCCTTTCCTCGGGCATATGGAGAGCAGCTTGGCTTCCCCATCTCAGCAGCTCCTGTTTGATCTTCTGTGCCTCTTCAGGGAAGGGGGATCAATAACTGATCCATCCAAGGCTGAAGTGAGAGTTTAAAATGGCTCAGAGCTGGGTGGGATGGGGCTTGGAGCCCCCTGGGACAGTGGGAACTGTCTGTGTCCATGGCAGGGGTGGCACGGGATGGGATTTAAGGTCCTTCCCACCCAAACCATTGTGGGGTTCTCTGATTGCCACAGGCACATCCACGAGATGCTCAGCCAGTCCTTCTCCTTCTTCTCCTTCTTCTCCTTCTTCTTCTCCTTCTTCTCCTTCTTCTTCTCCTTCTTCTTCTCCTTCTTCTCCTTCTTCTTCTCCTTCTTCTCCTTCTTCTCCTCCTTCTCCTTCTCCTTCTCCTTCTCCTTCTCCTTCTCCTTCTCCTTCTCCTTCTCCTTCTCCTTCTCCTTCTCCTTCTCCTTCTCCTTCTCCTTCTCCTTCTCCTTCTCCTTCTCCTTCTCCTTCTCCTTCTCCTTCTCCTTCTCCTTCTCCTTCTCCTTCTCCTTCTCCTTCTCCTTCTCCTTCTCCTTCTCCTTCTCCTTCTCCTTCTCCTCCTCCTCCTCCTCCTCCTCCCCCCACCTCCACCTCTCTCTCCCTGGCACGCTCCAGTTCCAGGTTCTTGCCCTCCATCACGTGCCCTGGCCCAGCCTCAGGAATAATTTGGTGCTTCTCCAGCCACCCCTCATTTTCCTGATGTTCTGCTGCTAATCCTGCTCAGTCCAGTTAAACCAGGATGAATTAATATTAAACATAAAATCAAGAGCTGGTCAAGGGATCTGAGTGTGCAGTAACTCCGTGACATCACTGGAGTTCCTGTAGATTCCTAGTGGGTTAGGAGAGTCGTTATTCCTCAAAAAGCCGCCCTACCTGAACTAAAGATCATGAGGAACTATAATCAGGATTATCCCATTTACATTCCCACTTTTATCCATAAATCAAATCCACCACTGCTGCAGCTCCCACTTGGTTTTTCAGCTCTCAGCAGTTTCTAACCGGTTTGGACCGTGTCCCAAGCCTGGCTTAAAAGAACTCCAGGACACCTCAAGTGACATTTGTTGCCCTGTGAGTTGTGCCATGCCAAGATTTCCATGGGCCCCAAATCCTTTCCACACTCCCTTGGCTGCATCTCAGCCTGTTCTCCCCCTGCCTTCCACGAGTGACCCAGTTTGGAAGAAGCTGAAGGACCCAGAGAGGTTCTGGGGATGAGAGGGAAGGGGTTGTGCTGACCTGGATCCCATTTTTGTGCCGGGAATTCCATGGAGCTCCATCTCCACATGGTCCTGAAAGAAAATGAGGAGCATGCCAAGATTTCCATGGGCCCCAAATCCTTTCCACACTCCCTTGGCTGTGCCTCAACCTGTTCTGCTGCCTTCCTTGAGTGACCCAGTTTGGAAGAAGCTGAAGGACCCAAGAAAGTTCTCAGGATGAGAGGGAAGGGGTTGTGCTGACCTGGATCCCATTTTTGTGCCGGGAATTCCACGGAGCCGGGGTTCCACAAGATGACAGCTGTGACACGGCTGCCACAAGCTCTGAAGTCTCTCCAAAACCTCCTTTCCCTGCCTGCTGTGTGCTCGGGTGAGCCCCGAGCTGGGGAAGTTTGGGCTGCGTTGGGACCGAAGCCGTGCTCGTGTTCCCTGCGCGTTTCAACGCTCGCGGTCGCCAAGCTCGAGCTGTTCCCTGTCAACACCCGCAGCTCCTGCTCCTTCCAGGGGTGATTAGGCACGGAGCTCGAGCGGAGCCGGCGCTGAGGAACTCGTTTGAAGGCCTGGGACATGGTTTTACATAATTACCAGGAGTTGCTTTAATTAGGCCCAGCAAAATGTTTCAATTTTAGAGCGAAACGTTCCACTTTTTACTGCCCTGCTCGGAGTCACAGCTGAGACGTGAAGGAACCATGAAAGAATTCCAGAGGAGAACAAGGTCACGGGGAGTGGCTTCAGAAGGACACATTTCCACCTCTGGAACATCCCCAAATCTCCACGCACAGCTGCTCCTCAGCCAAGCACAGCTCCCATCTCCCAGAATCCCAGGATGGTTTGGATTGGAGGGACCTTAAATCCCATCCCATCCCATCCCATCCCATCCCATCCCATCCCATCCCATCCCATCCCATCCCATCCCATCCCATCCCATCCCATCCCATCCCATCCCATCCCATCCCATCCCATCCCATCCCATCCCATCCCATCCCACCCCCATCCATGTTCAGGGACACCTCCCACTATCCCAGGTGGATCCAACCCCAGTGTCCAGCCTGGCCTTGGACATTCCCAGGGATCCAGGGTCAGCCACAGCAAATCTGGGAATTCCAGCCCAGCCCCTCCCCACCCTCCCAGCCAGGAATTCCTTCCCAAAATCCTGTCTCTCCCTGCCCTCTGGCAGTGGGAAGCCATTCTTCCCCTCTGGTATTTTAATTTTGAGGGGTTAAAGACTCATGCTATGAGTTGGCCTTCATAATTCTGAAATGAATATTCAGAATTTTAGCCTAAAACATGAATATTTAGATGCAAATTCTTCCCAGACAGAGGGCTGGAAGGGGCCCACAATGATCATGGAATCCAGCTCTCATGGAGCTGAGTCTGATGGTGCCATCCATTCCAGAAAGTCATCAGTGCAGTCAGGGAATGATCCACGGGAACGTTCTGTGCAGCTGCAGAGAGGAACATTTAATTAATGCCGAGGCAATTACCGTGACGAGCCGGTCCAGCTCCGAGCAGGGACATTTTCCCAGCTGCTCTGTGGAGGCCAGATGGGAGCACAGGCTGTTATTAGGGCTTGGCTTGCCCCTCCTGAGGTTCCTGGCAGGTAATCAGTGTATTTTTCCAGGTCTGGATTTCGGCATTCTGGGAATTTGGCCCACAGGGATGTCCAGGAGATGTTTCAATGTAAATGGAAGGTCTATTTTTTTTTAAATTTTCCCACTAGGAAATATTCCTTGTCCTTGCCAGTTACCAGGATGCAAATAGAAATCTCTGGGCTCTGTTTGGCAGCAGATGGAAAACCAAACCAGGCAGGAAGTTTTCCAGAACTTACTGTGGACTTTTGGGATTTGGTGAAGCCTGGTGTGGGGGGTCACCTCGTTGCTGCCCTCAGCACTGCTTCTCACAGGATGATCAGGGTTGGAAAAGACCTCTGGGATCACATGAAATTGTGGAATTAAGTAGGTTGGAAAAGACCTCCAGGATCACACAGAATCGTGGAATTAAGTAGGTTGGAAAAGACCTCCAGGATCACACGGAATCATGGAATTAACTGGACTGGAAAAGACCTCCAGGATCACATGGAATCATGGAATTAAGTAGGTTCGAAAAGACTCCAGGATCACATGGAATCATGGAATTAAGTAGGTTGGAAAAGACCTCCAGGATCACACGGAATCATGGAATTAAGTAGGTTGGAAAAGACCTCCAGGATCACATGGAATCATTCTGGGGTGGCAGGGAGGGACCTGCTCTGCTCTCACCCCTCATCCTGACCTGTGCAGGTCTCCAGGGAAAGGTTTGGGCTTCAGTGGGATTACTGGAAAGGGGAGCTCATTCCTGACCATTCCCAAGGAGGGCAGGGCAGGATCGGGGTTTTCCCACATGGAGATCCGAGCGCTCCCCGTGGATCAGAGCCCTTGGGACCTCTGCATGTTGGGTTTTTCTTGTAGGAAACCAGGATCGATAACAAACAGGGGCACTGAGATGCTCCTCTGAGACAGCTGCAAAGTACCTGATCCCAAAAAATGCTGTTTGATGGCTTTGGAGCATCAGGGATGTGGGATATCCCTGGTTTGGGTGTGGCACAGTCTGTCAGCTGCAGACTTCCTGAGATCTTTTTTCCAGTTTTTCAGGGAAAAAAAAATAAATCAATTGAATCCCTGAGTGTTTTGCATTGGAAGGGACCATAAATCCCATCTCATTCCAACCCTTGCCACAGGCAGGGACTCCTCTGCTATCCCGGAGTGCTCCATCCAACCTGGCCTTGAACACATCCAGAAATTCCCCTTTTAGAGGAAGAATCCAGGGAATCACAGAGAGGTTTGGGTCAGAAGGGACATTAAGGATCATCTCATCCCATGGGCAGGACTCCTCCCACCGTCCCAGGTGGATCTCAACCCCAATGTCCAGCCTGGCCTTGGACACTTCCAGGGATCCACAGCTTCCAGGGGCAGCCACAGCTTCTCTGGAAAACCTCTGCCAGGATCCCTTGGAAAAACCTCAGGGTGTACAGAGTGTCTGGGCAGGATGGAGTTAAATAAGTTTTGATGTGAAATCAGTTCAGTGGATTTAGGATGTCCAAAAGGAATGGATTTCGTTATGGCCAAAATCCATATGGGAACAGAGGGAGCTGCTTTCCTCTCTCACCTTTGCTGGGAGGGGCATCTTCTAAATAAAATTTTTAAGTCCTTTTCCCTTTCCTCCTGAGCTGCTGCACCTTTTAGGATGTGGAATGGAACAGTTCAGGAAAAAGATTCCAAGGGAGCCATGTCCTGAGCAATCCCTCTGGAATGTCCTCGTGGCACGTGTTGGTTTGGCTCCACCTGCAGAACTTCAGGCCACAGAACGTTCACCTTTGGGCACTGGGGTTTGTGCAGGGGTTGTCCTCACCTTGCTGGGACTGGACAAAGATTGGAATCTTTATCGGTGCTGGAAACAGGATTTGTGGGGCTTGAGGGATTTATTTGATTCATCAAAGAAGTGGGTTTGGGTTTGTGTTTAGAGAACGCTGATTGTAGCCGCTGTTTAAAACAAGCAGCCAGGGGTTGTGTGAGGAGTTGAAGGTCACAGCTAGGTCAGGGTTTGGGAGTGGAGCGAAGACCTCCAGGGATGATCCATCCAGGCTTGTGGTGGCCATTGCATCATCCCTGGAGAACCTCCGCAATCCCAGTGAGTCATTTTCCCTAAAACCCAATGTTCCAACCACAGCCCCTGACCTCGAGGTGGGCACTCCTCAGTGGCCAGCTCCTCGTCTGCGCTGTTTGGGATCCAGCCCTACCTGCGCTCCCTGATCCTAAAACCTCACGTAGGAACAGCGGATTCAAACTTGTTTTTCTTCTTGTGGCGAAGACCAAATTTCAAAAGCCGAGAGGAGTTGAAAGGGAAAGGGAAGCTGGGCTCCAGCTGGGGCAGCCAAGGATTTGGGAGCTGTGATTTGGGCTCTGATAACGCTCCTTGTGTGGCCCTGGGTGAGCTGTTAATCCAGGGGTGCCTCCCTGTGCCAAGCTGTCCAGGAGCTCGGCGCTCCCGCTGGAACCGGGCGTTTTTAACAGGCCGTTAACGGAAATAGGGAATAATTGCCGGCTTTTTATGGATATTTTGTTTATGACGAAGGGTGGCTGTGTTCAGGGGAGGTGCCCATTTTCCAGACCTCCTTCATTTTGCTCCTGGGAGATGTTTCTGACTCTTCCAAAGAGGATTTTTCTTGACTCGCGGCCACGGCTGCGGTGCTCGGTGCCGCCAAGTTCAATGTTCTCCTGGATGGAGTAAAACGTGTTTATGGATTTTGATGAAACTTGGAAATTCGTGGAGTGCTGAACTTGCTGCGTTACGGGAAAAGGAATCAAACTCTGACTCAGGGAGGAGGCTGACCCTGGGGGAGAGGGTGGCCTTGGCTTGGCTGAGTCAGAAAGTGTTTTTTGGTTGTCTCAGGCATGGATTTATTTTTGGAATGATCCCACGGCTGGTATCAGATGGGGCCAAGAAGGATGAGACATGGCCTTGGTGCCCCTCTCTGAATTTTTGCTCTTTGTTCCTCTGTATATTTATATTTTTTTCCTCACTAAACCATTTCCAGGGGTAAGGGTTCTCTGTTCTCACTCCAGACCGAGGTGTTTGGGCAGCTTGAAAAGCGCAAGATTTTTTGATTTTTTACAGGAAAATTCGCTTTAAATGAGAAGGTTTCAGTGTTCACAAAGTCTGAGGGTTCAGCACACTGAGCCCAGCCAGGGCCCAGCGGTGTCAGTTCTGTGCTCTGGGTTTGCTCCAGGGGCAGAAACAACTCAAGGTGTAACAATGATGATTTTCTCATCTCTCGGCCTTGAAACTCTGTCATTTCATGGAATTATGGAATGGGTTGGGTTGGGAGGGACCTTAAATCCCATCCATGGGCAGGGACAGCTCCCACTGTTCCCAGATGGATCCAAGCAGTCTTTCTGCTTTGTTGCTGTTCCCTCTTTTATTAATGTTTATTCCCTTCGTTCCCCAAAGGATTGCAGATTCAATCAGTGGAAAATAATTGCCAGGATATTCTTCAGTCTCCTGCTCTCTCCAAATGTTCAGGTACTTTGCGCTGGTCACTAATTCCCTCTCCTGGGGAATAACCTGGACCTAATTCCCAAATTTTTTGGCTTTCTCTGGCCTCCTGGGGTTGATTTTGTGGCGCTAAACTGCGAACCTGAGGACTTACACCTCACTAACCTTTGCTGTACTTATAAATCAGCTTCCCAATGGAAAATCTCCCTGTTTTCCAGTCTGGGCGTCTGCTGGGGTTTGAAACGAGAGGTTTTCCAGCAAACCTCTGGGATTTGGATGCCAGAACAGAGTCCAGCCTTTCAGGTGGAGCCACGCCAACATTTCTGTGGTTGTGCACCTGACCTGGACAATCTGCTCATCCAAAATGTGATTTAGCTGCCACTGGATTGCAATCCAAAGGGCTCTGTGATCTTCACGGCTGTGATTCCATGACCTGCCTCAGCTGTTCACAAAACTGAGATCTTTTTTTTTCAGTTTTTCGGGGCAAAAATTAAATTAATGGAATCCCTGAGTTGTTTGGGTTGGAAGGGACCATAAATCCCATCTCATCCCACCCCTTGCCACAGGCAGGGACACCTCTGCTATTCCAGAGTGCTCCATCCAACCTGGCCTTGAACACATCCAAAAATTCCTCTTTTAGAGGAAGAAACCATTGGATTGTTTCAATGTTCCCAAAAAAACAAATGAAGGATAAATTTTACCAGCCCATTATTTCTCCGTGCATCTCTTGCTTCCCATATCAGCCCCTGCACATCCCAACACCAGATTTCCCTTTGTCAGCCCGAGCTTTTCCCTTTATTCCATTTGTCATGTCCCCTTTTTTCTTTTTTCCCTGTTTTTTTATGGCCTCTTTAACTCCCATCTGCGCCAGGTTTGCCTTTTAACCAGCGTGGCCGCCTCGCTCAGTTGTGGGATTGTGGCTTCTGGAGCATCTCGTTAAAATGTTCTTAAACAATTTTCAATTAGGCTTCATATTTTTCTGATTACGTTCTTTCTCCCCACTGATTTGCCTCCTAATTATTTTCAGCTTGATGGAACTGGTCCTCTTTAAGATGTTGTGTTTGTGTGGACTATTGGTGGCGCTGGTTTATTCCTAATTTTTATATATTTATAGTTTTTTTTTTTTTTTTTTTTTGCACAGTTGTGATCAAGTCATGGTTATTTGAGTTTAGGCTGTCAAAAAAAGGAGTGGGAGAAAGAGTGGGAGACAAAGTGGCTGCTGGTTGTAAAACTGAATTTTTCCAAGTGGGCACTGGCCCAGGGGCTGCTGATTTTGGGGTTTGTGGCATTTAGGGGATGGTGGCTCTGGAGTGAAAGGCTGAAGTCTCCAAGCCTTTGATGTCTGCAGAGCCTCAGCTCCTGCTGAACTTGGTGTGGCGTGTTTGATCAGATAATTATGGGATGGTTTGGTGCTAAGGGACCTTAAAGATCATCTGGTTCCACATCAAGGACACCTCCCACCATTCCAGGTGGTTCCAAGCCCCAGTGTCCAACCTGGCCTTGGGATCCAGGGGCAGCCACAGGAAATCTGGGAATCTGTGCCAGGGCCTCACGTCCCTCAGAGGGGAGGATTTCCCCTTCATATCCCATCTTACCACAGCCACAGAATCCCGGGATCCCTGAGGTTGGAAAGCCCTCCAGGATCATCGAGTCAGAGCTGGGCCTGCCCCCACCTTGGGTGAATTCCTTGGACACCTCCAGGGATGGCAAATCCAAACCTCCCTGGGCACTTCCAAGTCCTGAGTGCCCTTTCCGTGGAGAAATCATCACAAATGTCCTGGTTTCCTGTGAATGAACTGGAAAAAGGGAGGAAAACCCAAGTTCCTGTGGGAGGGGAGGGCTGCACCACTTCAGGCTGGGCCAAGTCCCAGGAGGGTCACCTGGAGACATCTCCTGTGACCTCACAGAGCCAGGGAACCAAACTGGGATGGCTGCTGAGGTGGAACGAGCAGGGAAAGGCCTGCCTTCCACCCATGGATGGATTTGTTCTCAAAACCCGACAGAAAGCTCACACAGTCTTGTACCTCTGTGTGCAAACACGAGAAAAGGATGATTTAGGAAGGCCACAGAACAGAGATGACGTTGTTGAGGGAGAGATTGAACTAGAAGCAAGTTGTGACAAGTTTCACACTATGGCCTCGCCAAAAGATTAGATATTTTGGAGGATTAGAACTGTGAGAGATGCATTGTAGCAGGACCATGTGGGGTAAAAATATTGGTGGTTGGTGTTAGGAGTATTTTAGCAGCATTGTGTGGCAAAAGCTAACAGGCTGAAAAACATTTCTAAGGTGTAACCAGGAAATGGGCTGGCTTCTGATGGAATGGCATTGAATTTTATATCTCTTGTGTCTCACCCTTCATTGAGACTGATAATGGAATGAAATACTTTAAAATGCCTCTCAGTCTCTGTAAAAGCCGGGAAAACCAACACACCCACAGGAGAGAGACCTGGACCTGCTCCCAGTGGGAGAAGGACCCGGATGTCTCCTCTGCCATCCCAGCCCCAGCGAGGTGTCCTGCACCTCTCCCTGGGATTGCTCCCAGATGTGGACTCCTCTCTCGGGGTTCCGATGGTCAGGGTGACCCCGAGAGATTGTAAAGGGTCTTTGCTTCCCTTAGCCCGAACGCAGCCAAAGAAGGAGCCTGGAATGCTTCTGATTGCACTTTCAAGGTTGTTTATTTCTTCTCTTATCTAAACAATCTTTCTCTGACGTGCCGAGCTCTGCCTAGCAAGGAGGCCATGGCGTTCTCACCTCGACTAGCTCCCACCTTATATACTCAAAACTACGTGTCTGTTTGCAGTTTATTACCAATTCCCATCACCTTGTTAGACTCTGAATCTCTACCTGAAACAAACAGAAATGTGTCACAATCACGCCAAGACATGGAGGGCAAGAAGAAGGAGAAGAAGGCCAGGACACACCCAAATCCTTCCATCTTTACCCCCTTGACCCCCATTCTAAAAACCCCAAAATTCTACTTTTTTCACTCTGTGTTAGTTCAAATATCACACCACTCAAACCCTTGTGGCTTGTAATTCCTCACACAGAGTTTGCAGGTTTTTTCATGGGCTAAAATGGAAGCCACAGGTGTTTTTGACTTTGTGCCAAGGTCTGTGAGCCCCTACCAGGGTCTGGAGCCATCCAGGGCAGCCAGAGGGGTGTGCTGGGTTCCGACACCCCGAGACCTCCAGGCTGAGCTCTCCAGAGCGGCGAGGGGCGGGATGATGCCGCGTTCCCCCCAGGATGACCTTTCCCCGGAGCGGGCTGGAAGCCATCAGCGCCGACGTCGCCGCGCCGCATCTGCAGCTGCTTAATGACCCCTCCACACAATGCGCTGCTCGGGGTCATCTGGTTCCAGTTTCACCAGAAACAGAAGGAAATGTTGGGAACATACTTCCCCTACATCCAGTTTCACTTGTTGTGGATGCTTGGAATACTTTGGAACCCACATCTTTGGGGTTTCCAGGAGGGGGTTTGGCCGGCGAGCCCCAGCGACCATTTGAGATTTAGGGGGTTTTTTTTTTGATTCCAGAAGTGCCCCGGAGGTTGCATTGTAGGGCCTTTTCCTTATGCAAAACATAAAAGTGCTGCTTTTTTTCAAATTATAACCATATTTTTCATTAAAATCAGTTGGAGTCCCAATAAACAATCGACTCTGAAAAATTTTCCAAATGTTCTCTGCAGCACCGTTTCTATTTTTAATTATTTTTTAAAAAACTGAGGGTTTTTTCTTAAAAAAGCCAAACAAAACAACCAAAAAACAGCTTGGCTTAGAATTTAAAGAAGCCATCTAGTAAATCATGAAAAGTGCACATATATAGCTCCTTATTACACTATAATTAAAACCTACTGCACATGGAGTGTCAGAATCCCTCTGTCGCCATGTCCGATGGCTTCTCCCGTTTGCCTTATCGTGGGAACTCCTCCTTTCTGCTCCCAGCGCTTCCCAAAGCCTCTCCCAGCCTGTTTGTACATTTGTTTTATATAAATTGAGCGCTCTGATCCTATAGAGAGGGATGTGAACGACTCTTCAAAGCAGAAATTCCTTTTTTCTGGGCAGAGTTTCCATCCCCATCACTCCTTGGGGTCGTCATTTTTTGATTTTATTGGGAATTTCATTGTTTTATTCTTACCTGGTGCGATCTTTATTTGCTGTCCTAAAAGCCCAACCCACGACTAAGAACAAAACCCCCGAGTTTTGCATCAAAAGCTGTAAGTTTTGGTTTACACAAAGCAAGTAAAGGTGCCTCGGTTAAATATTTAGGGTTAAAAGTTTTTTATTGTGAGCTGGAAGTTGAGGAGTATTTCAGGGTATTGCTGCAATGCCAGGTGTCCAAGGAAAATCATTCTTTGGGGAAGGACCAGGTGCTGGGACAAGCAGTGGTGATGGGGAACCTGCTGCTGGTGCAAAGAAAAACTGGATGAGAGGAGAAAATGTGGAGTTTATCCATTTTTGTTCTGCTTTCGGGTTTTCCGTGGATCATTGCGGTGTCTGCTCAGCTTGGGATGAGGCGGAGAATGAATTTGACTGATCTAAACCTGGGCAGGCAGGATGGAAGGTGAGATGTCCAGGTTTTGGGGTCAAAGTGGAAAAAAATAGGTTTAGATGGGATTTTGGGAAGGAATTGCTGGCTGGGAGCGTGGGGAAGGGCTGGGCTGGAATTCCCAGATTTGCTGGGGCTGCCCCTGGATCCCTGGGAATATCCAAGGCAAGGTTGGATCCACCTGGGACAGTGGGAGTGTCCCTGCCATGGATGGGGTGGGAATGGATGGGATTTAGGGTCCCTTCCCACGCTGGCCATTCCAGGATTCTCTGTGGATGTTGGTTGGGAGGATTTCCTTGTTGGCCCTCTGTCAGAGGCAGATCTGAGCTGCTGGAGTTGGGAATTTTTCCTGCCTGGACCTTCCCAGAGCCCTTGGGCAGGAGTGGCCGCTGCTGTGGGGGCAGAGCTTTGTCATCCCCTCCTCCAGCAGAGCCATTCCAGCTCTCCTGGTGCTTGGCCTGGCCAGGCAGAGCTGCCCAAG